CAAAACCACGCCCTCATGTGCGCGTGCTGGTGCCCAGCTTCATTGGGCTGAGATGGCCTTTCATGAATCTTTTTGTTTAAAATGCTATATATTTTTCAGTCCCAAATATTCCATGGCAGTTTTTTAGTTTTATGAATTTTTTTGGTTTTAAATGTCACATTTTTTTCAGTCCCAAAAATGCCATGACAGTTTTTGTTTTTTGCAGCATGGCATATTTTCAAGAGGATGGCATTTTTTATTTTGAGAAATGGCATTTTTTATTTTTAATGCATGGCAGATTTTATTACTAAGTGCATGGCATTTTTTTCTTACCAATATGATGGCCTTTTTTTACATGGCATGGAAATTTTTATTACTAAGCGCATGTCCCTTTTTAATTAACAATGTGATGGCATTTTTATTATAAGAAATGACTTTTTTTACAATAAGAGGATGACATTTTGTATAAATAGAATGGAACTTTTATTATAAGAGGATAACATTTTATGTTATAAGAGTATGGCATTTTTTATAAGAGGATGGCATTTTTTACATGCACTTTTTTATTGTGGCATTTTTCACAAATCTGTCACACGTAATTTTTATATGATGGCATTGTTTTTCTTTTTCTTTCTATACATGTTGTTATATAGGGAAATCTTTTCTGAGATGTGGTAGTTTAGATATTTTTTCCTGGCAATTTTTCTTTTTTTCCTATGTAATGGCCTGCAAGGCCTAGTAAAAAACCCGACTTGTCGACTCATGGTGAATACATAAGCTACAAATTAGAGCTCCCTTGCAAACTTCTTTTTCCATTGTTGGTGCAGCTTTCATCTATAACTGTCTAGGTTGTCTTACAAATGGATATTTCATGATCACATTGTATGTGATTAAAATTTGGACAATTAAAACCCGAGGAAAGGCAGTACACGGCTCGCTGTTGCAGAACCAAAACAGTTAAAGTGCTTTTACCCTCGAAATATAAACATAGATATTGCTAGCTTAGTTTAAGCATATTCTTTTTATCCAGACATCCTTACAAAATCTCACTTTAGGCCCATCTCCTATGTTATAAACGTTTGAAAGCTCTGAAAGCCAGATTTTACGCTCATGAAGCCGAACAGAAATTAAGAGCACACTTGTTTCCGTTCAGCCTGGATAAGAGTCTTGGACCCCAAAATATATTCCTGCCACGTACCATCCTCACTATACTTAACTTTAAAAAGCTACTCTCCACGTTCCTAAATATAAGTCTTCTTATAAATTTCAATATAGCCTATATACGGATGTATATAGACATATTTTAAAGTGTAGATTCATTTATTTTACTATGTATGTAGTCTATATTAGAATCTCTAAAAAAGACTTATATTTAGAAACGGAGGGAGTACTTGATAGAAGCAAACATTTTTTGTTCCATAGTAATGGTGTCGAGTCCCCTTGGTTCTAGAAGGCAACACGGCACGTTTCATTTAGCAGTAAACAATATTTCTTTTGTTCATGACTTTGCCAATAGAATCCAGACCTGAAATATTGTGGCGTTTTAGCACTCACGTATAGGACTACAAAAAAGAGAGCGTATACATAACCATTTTTTCCTTCCTACTCCCTCCATCTCTGGAAAGAAGACCTACAAGTTTTCTCTTAAGTGAAATGGTGTAAATTTGAATTAGTCTATAAAAAAATATTGCGAAGTACATATACCAAACAAACATCATTAGATACACGATAAATATATTTTTATATTTTAGTATATTTATTATTGAATATTTTTTTCTAAAAACTAGGTCAAAGTATGCATTTTTTTATTTATCAAAATAAATACTACTGGTCAGTCGTTTTTTGAGCCCCTTGTATATTTTCCCCCAACAGAGAAAGGTGACTGAAAACCGAAAAGGCGGACAAGTGCCCACCGTAAATACAAGGAGATCAAATAGTAACAAAGTGCGAGGAAGATGCAGGTGACGAGAAAGGGAAGCACGACGTGCCGGCGACGTGCACTCGGCATCGTGCACGTCCGCCTCTACTGGTTCTAGGCCGCGAGGGAGGGAGCAGGATGCAGCATCCACATAAAATATTCGGGTGCCCACTGACATTGGCACATTTGCTGCAGACGAGTAAATTGCACAGAAGTACCATAATTGGGGCATTGGAAACAGATTGGTATCAAATTTGGTAATTTTTACATGTCAGTACCAAGTCTGGGGCTATACGTTACAAAAAGGTCTAAATCACGTATAAACGCGTATTGACAGTGTATCTGACCGGCGGGGCCCCCTG